AGCTCCACACCCCCCCTCCCACCTCCACCCCACAGCCCAGCCCACCGGACCTCCCCACTCTGCAACCTAGCTGAGCTGCACCTTCCCCCAAACCATGCAGACATGCTGAGCCAGTGCCAATTCCCTGCCTCTGCTTTCCTCCCTCCCCTTGGCTGTGTCTACACTGGCAGAATTTGGCACAAAAGCAGCCGCTTTTGTGCAAAAAAATTGCTTCCTGTCTACACTCACCATGTGTTCTTGCGCAAGTACACTGATATTCTCATGTATGAAATCAGGGCTTCTTGCGCAAGAGCTATGATGCTCCTGCTCAGGAATAAGCCCTCTTGCGCAACTGTTCTTGCGCAAGAGGCCAGTGTAGACAGGCAACATGAATTTCTTGGACTAATTTGCCCAGTACTGAAGTTAGACTTACCGGTCTCTTGCTATGTTTTATAATTTGGGGTATACATTTAAGTCCAAGAATTTAACTACTAGAACACACATCAACAGAAGAGCATTACACTGACTACTTCTTTGTTTCGGCTCCCACTCGCTGGCCATGTGTTGATCGTCACATGAAGCCAAACTGCACTGCAGGGCACAAACAAACTGGCCGTGGGCAGCATCCCAAGTTATTAATAAATATTTTATAAACCTTCACCTTTTCTCTTTGCTGCCATGTCTCCTCCCCTTGCTCCATCAGCTTCTGGTGCCTGCTGCCTCTCCCCCACTCCTCACCCTCCTCTGCTGTCCTGACTCCTGCTCTTCTCACTGCCCTCAGCCCTCCTGCAACCTGCCCCCGTCCACCAGCCCTTCTCTCCCACCTGTGCCCACTCCTCCAGTAGCCCCACTCTGATCATGTGAGCTGCCCCTCCTCATCCCCTCTTCCCCCCCCCCCCCCCTGCCTCTCTCCTCTGGTGCTGGTCCCTTCCCTGCAGGTGTCTGCCCTTCTGCTTCACCCCCAGAACCCCCTGGCACCTGCATCTTCCCTTACCCCTGCACCCTCCTGGTGCCTTCCCCTTCCCTCATTCCCTTTGCTCCCTTTTTCCCTGATGCCCACCCCTCACCACCCTCTGCCCCCGTTCCCATCATGCCCCTGTGCCCTCTCACATGACTTGCTCCATCCTGGCCTTCCTCATGCCCATCACTTCTTTCAAGCCTTCTCCCAGCACTCCCCCTCCTCCCTCTAGCGCCCAATACCCTTACCCTCTCTCCTCCCAGCATCACTCTGTCCCCCTCCCACTGACACCTCCCCTCCTGCCTC